AAGAGGACATGCCGATTGCTGCAATTTTCAACCAAGAGCAATTGATCTGAACTCAAGAGATCCTACACAGGAAGCATAGATGAGACTAAACTATGTTAAGGTGAAATAACATCAGCTCACACGATTAACTCGACAAAAAATTCACAAGCATGTAAGCTCACGAAAATAGAAGAGAAGGATGTCAAAAAATGCACCTGAGATGTGCTTTCTTTAAACGAGTGAAATAGTGAGTACAAATATATGCTCGGACCAATTGTATGCACGAAACAGTGACGAAATTCAAACCAAACAGCTATGGAGATGACACGAGAGTTCAGACCGGCAAAACTCGANCTCAGACCGGCAAAACTTGACCTCGGCCGAATACCTTGAACGGAAACTCAAGTCGGCTTCAATCCTCAACGTAATCACTCAACTTCAACCATTTTTGGAAACGAAAATTCAAATAGAAGAAACTGAAAATATATTTTTTTGTATTTTTGGTTTTTTGGAATTTTTTGCTAGCCTAAAAGAATCCGGAAAAAATTGAAAACAAGAAACCTAGAATCCCCTTTTCTCTCTGCCCGAATTCCTCTATGTTTCTCGTCTCTCCTCTGTTCTCTGTGTTTTCAGATCTCTCCTCTTTTTATATTGGGTGAGTGAAAAATATATAGGTCTAGGTATAGGGATTAATTAGTGGCCAAGAAAAAGAGCGTGTATGAGCATGTACATTTTTTGAGAGAGCATGTGAGTTTGTTACAAAAGATAAGGAAGAATCTTGCCACATGGAAATGACTCATTGACTCTTGCTTTAATTAATATATATTTTTTAAGAGTGTAAAATAAAAATACTAGCTAAATATTTTAAAATCAAGAACATATAATTTTTGTGATTTTTAATTTTCTTAAATAAAACCTACTAAAAATGAAGTTAAGGTTAAAATATGTAGATTAAACTTAAAATTATTTACATACTAAAAAGTGTTGAAAAATCACAAATATGATAAAAAATTAGGTGCTCACATAGACCACATCTGCATTCGTTTTTCAAATACTCAGAACTGGTGGTTCAAGACTGCTATATATGAGCAGAACATAATTTGACGTTGGAAAAAAGGGTAGCTAATGCAAATGAATTTATTCAAAGACACAGATGTACATTTGATGGTATTATTTAAGCTAAAAACATAAAATACACATGATCGACACCTTACAACATGTCACTAAATCAAAGAATTTTCCACAGGTACGTAACAGAGCTAAGTCACTACATAAAATTAGAGGAATCACCAATATCTGGCTCCTCTCTCTTTGTCTTCCGCGAAAATTTTACAATTCACAGAAGAATTAACTAATCACTCTACTCTGTAACGTCAGATGAGTAACGAATCGCGTAATAATTAAACAAATCTTAGAAAAATAATCCAGCGAAAGCTGCAATCCCAAAAACATAGGAGACCTTTAAAGTATTGGCGGCGCTAGGCGGAGTGGGTGCTTCAGCAGGAGTTGAACTGTCAGCAGTGGGACCCGCAGCAGTAGTGGGGGTGGGTGGGGAAGAAGAGTCGCTGTCGGGGGAAGGTGGAGATGAGGGTTCATCATCAGCAGGGGAATTTGAAGTTGGAACAGAATCAGAATCAGAAGAGGAGGAATTAGATGGAGATGATGACGATGATGATGATGATGGTGATACTGACGATGATGGTGTACTTGCTTTAGGGGAAGAGGCAGGGGTAGGGGATGATTTGGGGGTGGCAGCAGTGGGGGCATTAGCACTGCTCTTTGGCGCAGCTGCAGCTGACGGAGTAGAGGCAGAAGGAGATGATGATGGGGTTGATGACGATGATGATGATGTGGATGATGATGGAGATGATGATGGCGATGACGATGGGGATGAAGAAGGGGAGCTGCTAGGGGAATTAGCGGCCGAAGCTAATCCAGCAATGGCAACAAAGAGGAGAGCCAAAACAATAACTTGACGTGCCATTTTTTTTATATTATCTTTTTGTATATAAATATTTTTTTTGGTTTATTGATGGGGAATGGAAATGTAGAGATTTGATAGAGAGAATGATCCTTTAAGATTTGCAGTAGTTTTTGTTTTTGGAGAAATACTGCGCAACTTAAGGATCGAGGACAATGAAGGAGTTATAGGGGAGTGGTTTTTATAGGGTGGTTAAAGGACAAAGGTCAGAGTTCACAAGTGTTAGGCCAAATTAATTACCAAAATCATTGGCAGATTGAAAAAGAAAAAATTGAAGGTAAACCTTAAACGGGGAAGGAAGGACAGGATTTTCTTCTGTTTATTGACTAATTATTCGTGGGTGTATTTATGTGTTCCTCCGTTCTGAATGGCGAGTCATGAATTCATTGTTTGAGTGGCTTTTTTTGGGCCTCTTTTCATCATTAATGATATATGGCATCTTTACACAAATAACTGATATGATTCACCGTTTACTTTTTCTAATCAGTATACATAAATTTATTTTATTTGTCACGTCCATTTAAACTTAAAAATCCAATACAACCAAAAACCAAAAAACATTGCAGAAATATGAGAATTTTTGAGTTTAACTTTTGACTCCCGCTTGCCCATAGACAGAATCTTTAAGGTTAAAAATTAAAAGTGTTGCGCATGGAACAAGTTAGAGGCAACATTTATTAATCTCGAAATTATGCCAATAGAGTAAGTGGGCATAAAAATTCAAGACCATCCACTTTGAGGCTAAACTAGATCTTTTTCCTAGCTTTGCTAAAATAATTGTTTTAAAACATGATAAAATGTGAGTTTAGTTTTAACACTTGCATCTCGACTCAAATAGGAGTAATTGATGTAAATTATAATGAGCAAACTTCATTTGTAGCCATTCTGGGAAAAACTAATGATAATAGATAGCCACAAAATAAACTATACAATTAATAGTCCAAAATCAATTACAAGGGCTAGTCCAAAATCACTGCCACTCTTCCCCTTCAAATTTCTCACTTTTGAACAAGTGACCTACTTTAATCCATACCTTCCCCTTACTCTGCCACATATTCAAACAATAATCTTTTATATTTTTAATAGAAGCGAGTCCATAAATAATGAACTGAAGGACGTTTCACGCTGTAACCAAGAAGTTGCATGTCTTTTTTTTTTTTTTTAATTAGTTAATGGGTTAAGCTGGCGTTATACATGGAGAAGGACCGTTTGTCTATTAATCCACAATTAAATTATTACATTTATTTCTCGGTGGGTGTTTAATTATTTTAATTTTATAGATAGTCTTTACGTCAAGAGATCATCCAACAAACCCCACTTATGACTCACGAGTTCAATTCATTTTTATTGGCCAATAAAATGATGACATAAGATAGACTTAACAACATTTGATTACTACTCCTTTTATAAATAATGAGTTTCCTTCTTTGAAGGAGTCTTCCCTCCTTGGTATATTGCTTCAGGTGCAATTCTGCAAATCTCCCAAGTTTTATCTTTCTTCACTTTATCCATTTTCGATGCTCTCCAGTTTCGCTCACCTCTAGGTACGCAAATGTGTTGTGTAGGGGAGGAAGAAAGGAATGCTACCATACTCACGGAGTTTGAACTTTTTATTTCAATTGTAAAAAATAAAAATGCACCAAGTAAGCTAGCGTTCAACCCGACCTAACAAGTAGTTGGGGCATGGGGAGGCCTAGAATTTGGAAGAGAACAGTGGTAAAGCAGACTTGGGCTTCTGAGTATCTGATTACACATTATTTAGCTTATATATACTCTAAAAAATATACCATATCGGTGCATTTTAGCCCATTGATCTAATTTTTCAAGTGTCACTATACAAAATATATACTAAATAGACTGTCATTATATAATTTATATACAATAGACTGTCACTATACAAAATAGACTGTCACTATACAAAATATATACTAAATAGACTGTCACTATACAAAAATTTACTAAATATCACTATACAATTTATATACAATAGACTGCCACTATACAATTTATAAACAATAGACTGTCACTATACAAAATATATACTAAATAGACTGTCACTATATAAAAAATATACAAAATAGACTGTCACTACACAAAATATATACAAAATAGACTGTCACTATACAAAAAATATACAAAATAGATATTTCGGGCTATTAGATATAATATATTTGGACCGGAGGGCTATTTCATGTTAATGGGAAAAAACATAAACTATTAAAATTTTGAGGGGCCGTAGAGGATAGTTTTCTAAATTATAATGCATGCTCATAATATGAGTTCCGTCTTATGCCATTTAAATTATGATGCTCATAAAAGGTAGAATCTTTATTTTGGAGGATGGTGTTGGTGATACTGATGGGAAATAGGTATAAACAGCTGAAGCAAATAGCTAGGATCACTTGCAGGTAATATAGACAACACATAATCACAGATTTTAATCACACATAAAATTAATACTTATCTCTTGAAGTGTGATCGCGATCACGAAAAGAGCCTTCAAGTAAGAGCGAAAACCGTCCACGAGATTATCCTCCAGTTCCACAGTCTTCTGCTGTGTGACCCGAATAATGCCCGAAATTAGCGACATTCGTGTGAGCGAATTTCTCCTAAGAAGACCATATAGTAAAAACCATAACTTTCTTATGAAATAAGACCCATTTATATAGCCACATGTTTTAGGGTTTTAAAACTTTTTCCTAAACCTGTTGGGTCTTTATTTTCTACCAAGAAATAGAATTTTATTTAATTTCTAATTATTGGGGCACAACATGGACCTCAGTATTTAATTAACGAGGCTTCCTATTATGGGCTTAATTTGAAATATCCGAATTGATACTACCATAATAAATTACGAATTATTCCACTAAAAATTCGTAATTGCACTCCTCAATTTAATTTCAAAATTCTTCCATTAAACCTTATTTAACTTCCCATGTTAAGATTCAGATACGAATCAAATAAATTAAATTACTGACAGTTTAATTCATTGATTATTTCCTTTAGACTTTCGCTTAACTTATTTCATGTGACGGATACAAAATCCACCTGCAGGGTTTACACATGAAAACTGATAAGCTTTCATAAAGGTGTATCATCAATCTCTAGACCGAGACATGGATTTCATCAACTAACTATTACTTTGCCAATGTATATCATTATTGTCCAATTCATCAGGCATATTGACATACGAAAGGATCTTGTCTTTTAATAAATCAAAACAATAATAATATACACAGCTAAAAATAATTATATCAAGATTAAGAGTATAAGTACATTTAATGGCTAGAGACTTTATTTTATTAAGTTAGTATAAAATACTTATCTCTACTTGGTCCGTTCAATACATACAAAATGTACTAGCACAAGAAGTTGGAATTAAACCATTCCCATAATCAAGATAAATTATATTTAATCTTGTGCTACAATCATTCCTGATGATTTGTCCAATTCCATCATTAGATTGTGAACATGATCTTTATACTTATAAGAACCGATGATTTAATCTTCTGTGTATAAGCTAAACTCTATACACTAAATCATCTACTGCATAAGTAAAGGACACAGACGAATATATAATCTATTTAAAATATTATTAAAATTGAATAAACAAATTTTTCATAATAAATACTATATCCAAACCAAAATCCATGGTTAATAGTAGGCCAAATACCTATACGACCCCTTAAACTTGGCTTCAGTTTCTATTTAGACACTTCAACTAAGGCCAGTACCTATTGTACACTTTAACCTAATAGAATAAGTACCTATTAAAGACCTTTCACTCACCCGGTTTAAAAAGTTAAGTGTGTGTTGTTCACTTTCGGATGACATGGTGAAACATCGAATTAAAGAGTGACATGTGGCTGTTCCCATTTTTCTTTTTCTTTATTTAAGTCTAAATAATCTAAATTGAAAAAGAATTACAAAATAAATTTAAAACTCTACTCCTCCCCCCTCCCCTCCCACAACAAACTCACCTTTTCCAGACGACCATCTTTTTTCCCCTCTCTTTTTCTCAAGCTATCATCTTCTTCCCTGCCCATTTATGTTTTCATCTCTCTCTAGCCATGTCTAAACAAAAAGCATATTGTATACTTGGTTGGAAATTTTTCATATTTGTAGATGTGCAGCTTGGCCGTAAAATTTCACATCTGGACGGAAAATGTTGATGCAGAAGAAATAGTTTGGTTAATCTCCATGTTTGCAGCTGCAAAATCAAGTCAAAATTATTTGTTTTTTATGTCTGAAACTGCTGGATTTTTCTTGTTGGATGATATTTCTATATAAAATCGGATTGATATTACAGGGTTGATGTTTGAAATTGCTGCATCTTTTCTTGTTGGGTTTATCTTTGTAAAATCGAGTATTAAAAAATCTATTCGAGTTTTCTTGATTATTTTCTGAAATTGCTGCGTTTTTTGTTGTTGCGTTCTCTCTGCAAAATGGGTTTGACTTGTAAAAAATTTAAATTTGAAGTGAATTCTAAGGTGTATCTTTAAAATGAAAAGGTAATTCAAATATAAAGTTTAACATTACTGCAAATTCGAGTTTGAATTTCAAGATTTATCCCAGCCTCTTTTAATATATTATTTTTGGGTTTTACTCTTTCTTTGACGTGTACGAAATTCTTTACAGTGAATTGATAAGTTAATCAATATTGGAAGTAAGATGAATCTTTAAAACGACTCAGGAAAAAATTGGGAGGAAGAGAATCTTGTGGTAAATGGAGGTAGCGATGGAGAAGATGAAAGAGAAAGAAGAATAAAAAAATTATTTGAAGAAGAAAACAGAAAAAAATACAGGCCAAACATTTCTTCTTCACACGCCTAATTTTGGGTATAAATCACACATCATGCCACCAGTCATGAGGTATTTAATAGGTACATATTATAATAAGTTAAAGTATACAATAGGTATTGGCCTTAGCTGAAGTGTCTAAATGGAAACTGGTCCAAGTTTAAGGGGTTGTATAGGTATTTAGCCTTAATAGTATATATCCAAATAATCTACCACTTAGACTTTTAACTATGATAATTATTAGAATATACTATATATAAATATATGATTAATAGTATATGCCCTAACAATCTCCCACTTAGACTCATAACCATGCATTATAACTTTCACAGATATCCTTTTGCACGACTATTAAAAGTCTTT